TGATAGATTCGTAAAGCAGTTAAAAATAAACATAATACATAAATTTTGGAGGTTATATGACCATTTAATAAAGCCTTCGCCATGTTTTCTTCATAAAAAACTATTTTATTTATCAATTTTTTTTCAAAGAGAAGATCTGCATAAAATTAGCCAATCATTTTTGTTTTTTTTACAGTATTTGGAAATTCCATATTTGGTAATAATCCTGACTGGACTGTACTGCGTGCAATAATATCTGAAATCACATGACGCAGTCCAATTTTGAAGTAAAAATTATAATGGAAAATTATAATTTTTTAAGTTTTTTTGATCTTTTACAAGCTTCAGAAACACAAAATAATGTTATTAAAGGAAAAGGGAAAAGTAAAGTTGTTGCTACAGATCCAGCAACCAGTTTGCTAGAAAATGTTAACAGAGCAAAAGAAATATGGAAAGCAGATTTAATGATTTTTAAAGAAATTTTAGAAGAAAGGTATTGATCAAGTGGGTTTTTCTCATGTTATTTTATTTAAAAAAAGAATTTTACTTATTTCTTTAAATAATTTTTTATTAGCCTTCCTAAAGAATATGAAAGTAGTATGTATTAAGCTTGAAAAATGTATACATATATTAATTTGATTCAAAGTTTGAATATACTCATTGATAATTATTAGGTCTAGATGTTTCTTCTTATGAAGAGGAATATGGTGGATACAACATTTCATACAATGATCTTCCAACAACTTACTACTATGATATTTTGAATGATGACTCTCAAAATTACAAGAACAATTATTTTTTAATTGAAAATGATATAGAATGTGAAAACTCTTATGATGAATCTTGGCTTTTAAAGTATATTTTCATACAATAATCTAATTATGAAATTTAAGCATTGAAAATTTTTACTAATCATTAATTATGTATGAAAACAATAGTGAATCTGATAAACATGTTTCTTTTTTTATGAAAGATATCAATAATTCAATAACACCAAAAAAGTTAACCAAAGATATTTTCACTATTTTGAAATCAAATAAAAATGGTAGGTTGGAAATGATTCATGACCATAGATAGATAGATATTTTCTTTAATGCTATTTTTAAAATTCAAATAGATGATGAAATTCAAAATGAGTTAGTTGATCTTATTGGATTAGAAAACTTTGATTTCATTACAAAACTTATGACGGATCGTGCAAAGATTGTTAAAAATATTGGTAATCTGGAAATAATCAAGAAATCAATGGGAGTTAATGTAAGCTTTTAAATATATACATTAAAACATGAGTTATTTTAAATTGGATTTAAACAGAAATTTTTGAATAGGAATTACAAAAAAAACTTTCTGCCTGCCCTTCAACAGAATTTAATCACCCTTATCATCCTTCTCAGTTGACTTTTCGATCTGAGATGGAAATTCAAGAAGGAAGAAGGTTAAGGAAAGAACAAAGAAAAGCAAAAAGGAATAGAGCAAATGGTATTTTACTTTATATATATCTATCTATATGTAATGAATATAAATGAATATATTAAATTTTACCAATTCTTGGTTTTTTTTTTTTAAGAAAATGATTCAGATACAATTTTAGATTTTACTGCTAAAGAACTTTGCACAATTAGGGAAAATGAATTGCGTAATGCTAAAGATTTGCTACCACTTCCAAGACAGGTGATTTCACTTTTTTTAAAAAAAATTTTTTTTAAAAATAAACTAATTTATCACATATTGAAAAAAAAATTTTTCAATTAGCAATTCAATAAATCATCAGAATCTTTTAAACACATATATGGTAAAACACATTCTGGTACAGTTTTATCTGCATTTGGAACAAAATATACATTACCTGTTAGTTCTACAAAGCATGATTTTAAAGTAAGATATATAAAACATATATATAATGATCATTGAACTATTCTTTAATTACCAAAATTCTCTATTCAATATAGGACTATGAGGAGATTATTGTTCCTATAACGGAACAGGCAAAACCATTGAAAGAAGAAAATTTGATAGAATTGGATGAATTGGATAATCTTTGCAGATATTCATTCAAGGTATATTAATATTTACTTATACTTATGTGTATGGTACATATGATATTAAGTGATAGCTAACTAATAATAATGTTCATTTTTATATAGGGTTATAAGAGTTTAAATCGTGTTCAGTCACTTGTTTATCCAGTCGCATATAAGAAAAATGATAATTTACTAATTTGTGCTCCCACAGGCGCTGTAATATATTTCTTTAAAATTTTTTTTTGTTTTTTTTTTTTACATATCTGGTGAAATTAATTTTTAAAATAAATGATTGCTTAATTAAAATAGGGAAAAACTGACATTGCTATATTAACAATACTACGTACTATTCATGATTATTGCAGTCCAGTTCCCTCAATGTCACCTGAACCACAAACATTTGATATTTCAAAATCAGATTTTAAAATTGTTTATATTGCTCCAATGAAGGCACTGGCAGCAGAAATTGTAAAAAAATTTAGTAGTCGTTTGGCATGGTTAGACATCCAAGTTAAAGAATTCACAGGTTTTTTTGTTTGAAGCTGTCTTTAATTACATTGCATTATTCTTGTTATTACTATTGCTATTATTACTATTATTACTGTTACCATTATCACTATTTATAATTTTCAAATCAACAATTATTAATCATGTGTTTTGGTTTCTATAAATTGTATAGGTGATGTGCAATTAACTAAAATAGAGATTGCCAATACACAAATAATTGTCACTACACCTGAAAAATGGGATGTAGTGACAAGAAAAGGCACTGGAGATGTTGAATTATCTCAGGTATTTTTATTAGCCATGTTTATATAATATATATTTATTTATTTATTTTTAATTATTCTAAATACAATGAAAATTTTACTAACATAGAAAGTAAGATTGCTTATTATTGATGAAGTCCATTTATTGCATGATTATCGAGGTGCTGTTCTTGAATGTTTAGTTGCTCGTACTCGTCGTCAAGTATGTATAGCTTTTAATTTTATTGTATAAGATTCTTTAACCAACAATCAAATAAATATTAAATAATTTTTTTTATTTAAAGGTTGAGTCTAGTCAATCAATGATTCGAATAATAGGTCTTTCTGCCACTTTACCAAATTATGTTGATGTTGCAAAATTTTTAGGGTACAAACTATTTAATTTAATTATCAATATATATTGGTAATTTCATTTTAATATTATGGAGTATATAATAATTCTTGATTTTTGTAATTTTATTAGAGTGGATCTAAATAATGGTGCAGAAGGACTATTCTATTTTGACAGTGGATTTAGGCCAGTGCCATTAGAACAACATTTTATTGGTGTTAAAGGAAAACCTGGAACAACCATTTCCAATGATAATCTTAATAAAGTTTGTTGGAGTAAGGTATACATATATGCTTAGTATAATTATTTGAAAAATAAATAAAATAAAATAAAATAAAATACTATATTTAAGAAATTATTTAATAGGTTTTAGATACTGTAAAAGAAGGGCATCAAGTAATGGTTTTTGTTCATTCTCGAAAGGACACAGTGAAAACTGCACAATTGTTTCGTGAGTTTGCTACTTCACAAGGTTATACAGGTATGGTAAATTTTTTATCCTTTAATTAATGAATTATATGTTAATTGCTATACTTAATCTTTTTAAAAACTATTATTTATAAAAATTTTTGTTTTTTTTTTTTAGATTTGTTTGATAATACATCTCATCCTCATCATTCTTTTGTGTTAAAGGAAGTAATGAAATCAAAAAGCAAGGAGTTGAGAGAATTGTTTGGTATAAGTTTTGGTATTCATCATGCTGGGATGTTAAGATCAGATCGGTCAATTACTGAGAAATTATTCCTTGATGGTCATATCAAGGTAAAGAAAAGTTTTCTTTACCTTACAATTTATATTTATGTTATACTAATTTTCCACATAATTAAAAAAATTTTAAATAAAAAGGTTTTATTTTGTACTGCAACTCTTGCTTGGGGTGTAAATTTACCAGCTTATACAGTAATTATTAAAGGAACTCAAGTTTATGACTCAGCTAGAGGTGCATTTGTTGATTTACCAATTTTGGATGTCACGCAAATTTTTGGTAGAGCAGGTCGACCAAATGTTTGTTGTTTTAGTTTTAATATATTATAAATTTTTTATAAAATCACTATATAATATTCTAATAAATATTATTTTTCAAATAGCTTGAAACTATGGGTGTTGGTTATATTCTTACTACTACAGATAAAATTAGTCATTACTTGTCCTCATTGACAGAACAATTCCCTATAGAATCAAGGTATATATTTATAAAAACTTTTGACAAAATTAATAAATGTGATGATTATAATGTTATTAAAATGATTTGATCATTGTCATTATTATTAATTATCATATTTCAGATTTATAAGTCAAATTGAAGATAATCTGAATGCTGAAATCTCCTTAGGTACCGTGACAAATATTGATGAAGGAGTACGATGGTTAGGATTTACTTATCTTTTTGTAAGAATGAAAAAAAATCCACTTGTTTATGGAATGAATTATGAGGAAGCTTTTGAGGATCAAGAACTTGGTAAAAGACGTAGAGATTTGATTGAGAATGCAGCCAAGGTTCTTCAACGGCATGAAATGATAACATATCATGAAGAGACTGGATATTTTTCTATTAATGATGTTGGTCGTACTGCATCAAACTTTTATATAAGTTACCAAACTATTGAAATTTTTAATCAAATTTTGAGAGAACGCATGTCAGAGCATGAAATAATATCTTTAATATGTGAAAGTAATGAATTTAAAGATTTAAAATCAAGAGAAGAAGAAGCTCCAGAATTAGATAAATTACTTTTAAGTGGCTTGCCTCATCAAATAAAGGTGTATTGACATACTTTTCATAAAATTTATTGGTTATTAAAGATTGAAAACTTTTATTTTAACTTTTTTTTCTTTTGGATTTTAGCAAACTCCTGACTCAACACTTGGAAAAGTTAATATTCTACTACAATCATATATGTCAAGAATACCAATTGAAAGTTTTTCTTTGATATCTGATTCACATTTTGTTGTCCAAAATGCAAGTAGAATTGTTCGAGCTTTATTTGAAATAGCACTCAATAGAAATTGGAGTCACGTTACATCAATTTTGTTGGAGTTAAGTAAATGTATCAATAAGAAAATGTGGACAGACGAAACACCTTTATTGCAATTTGGTTTACCACAAGACATTATAAGGAAATTAGAATCAAACAAATATAGGCCATCTATAGAAAAAATGAGAGATATGCAACCAAAAGAACTTGGTGAGTTAGTTCGAGATCATCGAATGGGAACCATTATTGCAAAGTGTGTTGATCAATTTCCGATTCTTAAGATAGATACACATATAGCACCAATTACACGTAGTATTTTAAGGATTACATTGAGCATAACACCTGACTTTGTTTGGAATGATCGTATTCATGGTACAGTTGAACCATGGTGGATACTGGTCGAAGATTCTGAAAATGTAGAATTATATCATTCAGAGTATTTTTTGTTAAGTAGAAAGCAAAATGGTGAAACACAAAAGCTTGGTTTTAACATTTTAGTTAATGAACCACTACCTCCTCAGATTTTTATTAAAATAGTTTCTGATAGATGGGTTGGTGCAAAAGCTATACATCCACTAACATTATCTAATCTGAAATTGCCACAAAATAATCATAAGCAAACACCATTATTAAATCTACCACCACTACCTGTAACAGAATTAAAAAATAAGGTCCTAGAGGAGATCTGTTTAAAGAGGTTCTCGCATTTTAATCCAGTACAGACTCAAGTTTTTAATGTTCTTTACAAAACACCTAATAATGTGTTGATTGGTGCACCAACTGGTTCAGGTAAAACAGTTACTGCTGAACTTGCGATGTGGTAGGTTTATATATTTATCTATTTATTTATTACTTATTATTATATTGAAGGTCTTTTGATTAAATCTTTTATTTTTTTTTGATTATCAAAGGAGAGCATTTCATGAAATGCCAAATTCCAAGGTAGTTTACATAGCACCATTAAAAGCACTTGTTCGCGAACGTGTTGATGATTGGCAGGCTAGATTGACCATACCGATGAAGAGACGACTTGTGGAATTAACTGGAGATATTACTCCAGATTTGCATTCTATTGAAAAGTCGGATATAATAATTACAACTCCTGAAAAATGGGATGGTATAAGTCGTAGTTGGAAATATCGAAGTTATGTACAGGATGTATCTTTAATTATTATTGATGAAATTCATCTACTTGGTGGAGGCCGTGGTCCTATATTAGAGGTCATTGTATCACGCATGAATTATATAGGCTCCAAAACAGGCAAAAAAGTACGTATTGTTGGATTATCTACAGCTTTAGCCAATGCTCAAGATCTAGCTGATTGGTTAGAGATCAAAGAAGAAGGACTTTTTAATTTCAGTCATCAAGTTCGTCCTGTTCCTTTAGAAATTGAAATTGAGGGATTTTCAGGGAAACATTATTGTCCACGAATGGCTACAATGAACAAACCAGCTTTTCAAGCAATAATGACCCATTCCCCATCAAAACCTGTTATAATATTTGTTTCATCACGTCGTCAGACTCGATTAACTGCACAAGATCTTATTGCTCACTGTTGTACGACTGAAAAACCGTACCATTTTTTAAGAATGCCAGAAGAAGAAATACAAGCAATCATGTTAGAAGTTAATGATGAAAGTTTAAAAACGTCACTTGAGTTTGGTGTAGGTCTTCATCATGCTGGTTTAACTGAAGGTGACAGAAAAATCGTTGAGGAACTTTTTCTTCATCAAAAGATTCAGGTGTTAGTTGCTACAAGCACATTGGCTTGGGGCGTTAATTTGCCAGCTCACTTGGTAATAATCAAAGGCACAGAATTTTATGATGCAAAATCAAAAGGTTATGTAGATTTCCCTATAACAGATGTGCTTCAAATGATGGGAAGAGCTGGTAAATTATGAATTTATATTAATCAATTATTGATTTAGTTTATTTTTTTGATACATAATAAAATTTGAATTTTTCAATTAGGTCGTCCACAATTTGATACAAGTGGTACTGCTTGCATATTTGTTCAAGATTCAAAAAAGGATTTCTATAAAAAATTTTTATATGAGCCATTTCCAGTAGAATCCAGTTTGCATTTGCAACATGAAGATCATTTTAATGCTGAAATAGTTTCTGGATCAATCAAATGTTTGCAAGATGCTATAACATATCTCAAATGCACTTATTTGTACCGTAGATTGCAACAAAATCCTTCATATTATAATTTATCTGGCGATTCTTCTGTAGAAATAGACACATTTTTGTTTCAATTATTCAAAGATGCTGTTGATAAACTTGAGGTTTCAGGTTGTATTGAAGTTGTTGAGGATGATGATGATAGTAATGATGGTTTAAATGTTCAGTCCACTTTTTTAGGCAAAATCGCTTCACAATATTATCTTTCACATAAGACTATAAATATTTTTCATGATAAATTAAAAAACAATTGTACTGTAAAAGATATTCTAAGTATTCTGTGTAATTCTGAGGAGTATTCGGAATTACCAGTTAGACACAATGAGGATTTGCAAAACCAGGAATTAGAAAAAGAACTTCCTTGGTCTGTTGATGTTGATCATCAATATGATAACCCGCATGCAAAGGCTTTCCTTTTACTCCAAGCCCATCTTGTCAGAACAAAATTACCAATGGCTGATTATTTGACAGATACTCTATCAGTTTTAGATCAGGCAATTAGGATTCTACAGGTACAAATATTATTATTGATTTTTTTTAAATGATATAAATAAATTCTAATTTTTTATTATTTATATTTTTAGGCCATGATTACTTTTTGTGAAGGAAAAAATTTTCTGGCAACTTGTCTAAATGTTACAACAGTGATTCAATGTTTAAAACAAGCTTGTTGGCCTGATTATTCATCATTGTTAACTTTACCAGCAATCACAAAAAATATGTTAAGTTCAATATTAAATGAAAAGGTATAATGATTTATTTTTATAAGGCAGATTGTGATTGCTTGATTTAATTTTAATTTTATCTTTGAATTTAAGGGTCATGTTATAAATTGTCTTGGTGAATTGACAAACATTTCTGAGGGTAAATTGATGAAAATCTTTAAAAGAATCAAAAATCTTTCAGATTCAGAAATCAAAAAGGCATAATATATTTATCATAGATTATAATAATTTGATTTTGATTTTATGAAACAATGTTTGATTTTGATTTTTTTTCTTTAGGTTTGTAATATCATCAGAAATATACCTTCAATAGATGTAGAATATTTGATTGAAAAATCCAATGATTCGATAATAGCAAATGAAGAATTTACTTTTATAGTTTCCCTAATAAGGACTAACAATAATTCGAATTATGATGGAAAGGTCTATGCGCCACACTTTCCAAAACAGCAGTATGAGTCATGGTATTTAATAATAGGTGAACCTTCTACTGATAAGATTGTTTCTATGAAAAGAATAAACAATATGCGTAATGATGTTTCAGGAGATAGACATAAAGTACAAATGAAGTTGACTGCGCCAGAAAAGGAAGGAAAATATATATACACTATTTTTTTGATCAGTGATGGTTATATGGGGATTGACCAGCAGTATAATGTGGAAATAACGGTTAAATCCACTTTTTGATTTATGTATTAATTAATATATTTATTTCGAATATTTTTAATTTATTATGTAATATAAGATTTATCATCAAAACTTGGAGTTAGAGAATTGATTAAATTTAATCTAAAATTCAAGTTGTTCTTTAATACAGTCAGGGAAATTTTTAAATTTGGAATTTCTAAATACCGTAATAATCAACGATCTAGTCTTTTCATTGAAAAAAATAATAAAAAAATTTTATGAAGGAAAACTTGGCGATGGCTTTATTAAATGATCATACAACTACCAAAAGTATGTATTATGTGTACTTTCAACTGCTTTACGAGCCTACCAAAAAACAGACAATAGTTGTAAAACATAATCATGAAGTTATCAAACAAATTCAATAAATTTCTTCATAAATGGTATATACTGAGGAAGTTGTTTTTTGAATTCATTAACCTGTCACCCAATCTTCTTTTAGAATTCCTGCTGGTAAGACAAGTATTAGGAGTAAGTCTTCAACTAGGACTTGGACTAGAAGAAATGCATCTTTCCCTTTCCTATTATTATTAACAATGCATGTAGTAAATTGTTAAATTATACCTTTTGTATATAGATGATTTATTATGTCTTCTTTTTTTCCTTGTTATTGTTATAAATGAATTCCTTATGTAACATTATTTCATGATTATTAGGCTTTTGGATATAAATAAATTCTAACCCGAATTTATATAATAAAAACAAATAAATTCTATGCTGAATTTTATATAATAAAAATAAATAAATAAATATGATCGGAACTACAGTGCGAATCATCTATACTCAAAAGTTAAAATTTTTGAAATATTATGTGATCCACATATTGGATTTTAAAAAAA